AGCATCACTACCTGAACCAATAACAAGTTCTGGCACAACGAGGAGAACGATTTCCCAATCAGCACGCCCAGTCTTGTCGGGTCTGACATCCATGTCTGTTGTACAGACTGGAAAGGAGATCCTAGTATAAAAGGTCTCCTTTGTTCACTGGGAAAGTAATCCATCTTCACCCTCACTCTCATTACATCCACCATCTCCCACCACTGACTTGATCGTCAGAGCACTCTCCCATGATCACCTCCCAGGGAATGGCTGGCAGATCTCTATTTGTTGTGATCTTACCAGGTCTTCACCATCGTAATCATTCCAGCAGTCAACTACCGGAGAAAACGGTCACATCATTTAATATATACTTAAATTAACTGTAGTCAAGAATTAAATTTCATCAATTTAATATGGTCATGGATTTACACATATAAGATTGTAATATAATTTTGGAAAAGTGATATATATATATATATATATATATATATATATATATATATATATATATATATATATATATATGAAGATTTGTTTGTCAAATGTCACTTTCTCCTTAATTTTGACACGTGTAATTTTCTCATTAGTTTAGAATAATTTTGTTTCCACATGTAATTTTCTTATTTTTTCCATTTTTATTTTGTTGCCACATCATTAAAGTAATTAAACCAGATTATTATAGTAATTAATTCCGTTTATTATTATTTATTTACATGTGTTATTAATGTAATTTTGTTATTAAATAAATACGTGTTTTAATAATATAAAGATTAATTTTAATTAATTTTATTCGAATAGTTAATTTAGTTATAATTGTTTAAAGAAATAATTTATAAAAATGTTGTAAGTATATGATTATAATTCAACTTTGACTTGTAATTTTACCTTTTGTTGGTTCCTCTCTTTTTGTAGGAAATGTTTTGCATAGTATGTTGTTCATGATACATATACATATAGAGGGTGAATTAGGAAGACTGGCTTAAAAATGTTAGATCCTAGATTCAATGATAATGAAACAACGGATGCAAAAGTAATAACTATAAAGGAATCTGCCATACAATGGAGTTGGATTGCAAAAATTTATTTATTCAGATGATTCAAGAGATGGAAATAGATAAAAATGTATAAATAATGAATAACAATCAAATTTTTTTGTCTACAGTGATGAAGTCATGATTCAAGATATAAAAATAGAGAAAATGATATAAACAACAAAGAACAATCTAATTTATTTGTCTACCATTATGAAAATCCTCTTTTAAAATTTATGTCATTAGATATCTACCATAATAAATATAAAAATAATTTTGATCAATGTCAATTTAACACATGTCATTTTTTGAGAATTATTTTTTTCCCCTTGTTATTTTTGTGTTTTTTTTTTATTTATTCAAATGTCACATCATATTAATTAATTTTATTAATATATTAATTAATGTATACTAATGTAGATAATAACCTTTCATTTGTGAAATCCTATATTTTAGGTTTGAAACAAAAAAGAAACCGGGTTCTTTAAAATACATATTTGAACTATAATAAAAGAAAATATTGTCGATTTTGAAAAACTCTTAAATAAACGAGTTAAATTCCTAAAGTTGAAAAAAAAATATTTTTATTATTATTGAGGTTTGAATCAAAACTTAAAAGTAACAATCATGAAATAAAACCTGTTTAAATACTTTTTAAACAAAACCTTCTAATTATTTTTCTTATGATATTGCTTTTAAAACAATGATTATCTCTCTCTCTCTCTCTCTCTCTCTTTCAATATATATATCTATATATATATATATATATATATATATATATATATATATATATATATAGGTTTAGGTTCTATGGAAAACAAAAACCCTAAAAAAACCTAAAAATCATAAAAATGCATAAAAAAAATACCTAGAGATCACAATACTTTTTTTTGAATTTTTTTTTATAAAAAATCGCAGCTTTTTATTAAATTCGCTGAAAAAAAAAAATAAAAAATCAGTTTTTTTTTTTGATAAAAAAAAATTCAATTTTTTTTCAGCGAATTTCTTTAAAAACCTGCGATTTTTTCATAAAAAGGGTCAAAAAAAAGTTTTGTGATCTCTAGGTATTTTTTATGCATTTTTATGATTTTTAGGGTTTTTTTGTTTTCCAAATAACCCTTCCCTATATATATATATATATATATATATAATATATATAATATATATATATATATATATATATATATATATATATATATATATATATATATATTATATATATATATATATAAACGTTATACAATTTGACATTAACTCGTTTTTTACGGGTCACATTGACAAGCAACTACTTGTGTCCATCAATATGTGATTTAATAAAATTTAGTTTACATATATAAATATAAATTTTGAATTATGACTCTATTTATTTTTTGTTTTTAATATCTATATTATTAATTACTATTATTTTAAATTTTTTAGTTATACAATTATTTTAATATCAACAAAATATAATGTTACTTTTATAAAAAATTTATATTTATACTTTTTGATTATATATAACGACATTTTATTTGAATCAATATAGATTAAACAATTTATATAATGTTAGTTGTTTTACCTTAAAAAGTTAAAGAATAGCTACTTAATTAAGAATATGACTTTACTTTCAAAACTAAAGAATATCTGCGATAAAGGTGTGAAAATAGAATAATATAAAGCGCAATGCCTTTACAGAGATTTCCATTAATATTCAAGTTGTTGAAATTTTAGAAAAATCTTGGTATATATTTTGATCTTTAAAGGATTTTTTGCCTATGTTTATGGCTATTGGATGAGTGTCGGTGAAATTTGAAAATATCACAGGCCTTGGTGGTTGCTTTTTTGTGAGATTTATTAATGCTTAAGTATTTTTTTTGGGCTAGTATATTGTACTATTAGGTGCTAGCATGGTGGCTTGAATTCATCATAAGTTGCTTCAACATGTGGTGTGAGTCCCATCCGTTTTACCTACACAAATTTTGTCCCTTTTTGTTACATTTTGTTGAAAGGTATAAATATCATTATGATCAAGTAATGGCTTTGGAATATAAATTACTTTGTTAACCGTTTAGATTGAATTACTTATTTATTCATCGTTTCGTTTGTATTTATTTCAAAATTTTACTTTAAAAAATGTTTAATGTTTACACATTGATTGATATTTAACTTTTTTTAATCAACCCGTGTAGTAAATGAGTTTCATACATAGTGTGTTTGTGTGTGTGTGTGTGTGTATATATATATATATATATATATATATATATATATATATATATATATATATATATAAAGCGATTTCGACGAGTATAAATAGGGAGCGTTTCCAAAAAATAAGAATTGCAACCACCGGTTCCGATTCGAAAGCTAGCATTATGTTCTACAATTTACCCCTACTCACCACATCTTCCACATATGTTACAAAGTCGCTATAACTTGTTAGCATTAGAATTGAGCTATTAATTATATAAGTCAAGTTTATTGTTTAGAGGTTCCTTATTCATTTTTTTTGGGTTTCATATTTTTGAGCTCATTAATTACACTAATAATGTTTGGTCATGAAAATTTTGATTGATCATCTAAATTTTATTATTATTATTACTTTATAAATTTCGAACTATTTTATGAGTATTTTTAAAGTATTAATTAAAAGTTCTTTGTCTTTTTTTTATTTAATTAAAGCAATGATTTGAAAAAGAAGCTGATATTGCTACTGAAATATTTTATGTTTTTTATGAAGAATATATAAATTGAGAATTATGCCCTTACTATACCAATCTTTGTTTCATAATCTCCCTAGAAACTCCACACGACTGTAGCAGCCATTACCACCACCGGTCGTTGCCAATTCTATCACCATGGTTATCAAACAACCTCCCTACTATCCTTTATCTACTCTTCATCAAAAAATATTGTCATTACTCTCGGAATCTGATGACCACAATGGTGGTATCTTCAACGCCTACACCGGAGGTTGGAGCAAAGAATCACCGCAATGTGCACTTTATAGTCCTCTCCAGTCACCTCAAACTTTGTGTCGGGAGCCTCCAAAGGGTCTCGGAGGCACAATCGTCGACTCTTACGGTCAATATTCTACCTTGAATCACGACCTACAGAATAAGAGTAATTGTATATCTCTGTCGGTTAATTAATCAATCGTTGACTTTCTTTTTCGAAGCCCTAATTATTGTATTGTTCAAACTTTTAGACGATTGATTATAGTTAAAGGAGGAAATCACAAAAATGAAGAAGTCATTGATGTAACACCCAAGGAGTTCTCAGTGAGTACAATTCCACAAGAATATGGCGGCGATGCTTTATCAATTTCAGGAGACACCGTAGTTTCTCCGATTACAAAGATCAAACTTTACAAACAGTCTTTAGATTCAAAAGGCTTAACCTTATAATAATTACATCAGATGCATTAACATTCATGCTTTATAAAATTACCTTATTTGGTAAAGTTATTTCTTTAAATTCCTCAAATATTTATTTTTCTAAGTGGAGCGATAGTGATTATCCAAATCTACCAGATGCTTTTTGATTGCAACCCAAGCTCCTCCTTAATGTTTGTTGTATTTCCTACGGTTGTGTCTCATTTACTTATAGCTCCGCTGATTAAAGCATCTAATGAGGGTACCAATGATGTTGATGGAAGAAGAAACGGATGAAGCAACGCCTGCTGAAAAGCAATACCAAAAGAGGAAGAAGCAAAGTCGTTTGGAGTTCCAGTCATGATCTTGCATTTTTTGAAACAAAGATGGCTATTTCTCTCTCTTAAATAAATAGGGACATAATTGTCGATGTAAATTTTTTTCAATGAAGCATAAAAATATACAATGGCAATATCAAGGACCTTTGAAAAAACACCAAAATAAAGAACATTTGTGGTTATAAATAAAAATAGTAAGTATAAGGACTAAACATGGTTTTTGATGGTAGAGTGAGGACCAAAAGCAGCAAGTTTTCCATCTATTAAACCTTATCCTTACATATACATTCGGTCCGTCACCGCACAACTTCACCGAGGGAATCGTGAAGCTGACCCTAATTTTCCCGCCATCGGATATTCCAAATTACGAAATTACAAACCCTAATTTTGTAGCTCATGGATTCGTTATCGTTTATGTTTCAAACTGTAGTTGCCTCAAATCTATATTCAGATCGCCTTTCAAAAATTCAGAGTAGAGGTTGTAGAGCTCTAACAATCGGCGATGCTCCTGTTCGTAATGTTTATGTCACTTCTCAGCTAAACAACCGTTGTCTTATTTCTGTTCAAACGCGTGGCGCGTTTTCAAACCCGCAAAGTGATGGACAAGAGGAAGAAGAAGAAGAAGTGGAAGGATCAGTTGAAGAAATTAGAATTCCAAAAGCTTGGTTGAACTCTTCGAAGGCATTGGAGGTACATTGACCAATACCTTTTTAACTGTTATAATCGGACGATTCATGTGATCTCTTTGCTATATTTTGTTATATAGATCGCTGGCACAACGTGCATTTCTTTGATATTAAGTCGAATCAGTATCGACGGATACCTATCTATCATATGAAGTATCAACTTATCATGGGTCACAATGCTTTAGTGACATGAATTTGGTAATTTTGGTTAGAATAACACCCATTGATATAAATACTTTTGTTACAATACATTTACCAGTGAGTGCGGACTTCGGAAATGACAGAGGTCAGTATGTACTTTGGTTCGAAGTGTTTCCCTTCTGTAGCGTATGACAGAGGCTTATGATGAACATGTGAACATCATCTAAGATGATCCTTTGTTAGAAGTCAAAGGATATTTAATGGTACGCAACAGAGTCCCTATGTAGGTTTAGGGGTAGGCACTTTGATGCAATAACTCGCCCAAGAAATCCCCATCCATTTAAAACTTTGATACTTTGATATGTCAAAACTCAAAACTGAACCTCAAAACATCTGATGCCCAAAGAAGTAAAAACTGCCAACAACATTAAACGCCTAACCAAATGCAACCTGTAAACCATTCATGCTAACACCAGAAAACAGTAGCTTCAACAATCAGGCGAAACCCACAAAACATGAATAGGTGTAGGTAGATACTGTTAGATCAAAACTAACAAAATAGGTTTCGTGAACAAGAGGAACAATGCTTGCTATGTTTAGCAATATGAAAAGCAATACAAGAAGAACAATCAAGCTGCAGAAATTTGTGCAACTACTCTAATTTAACCAAATAAGTTTGTTTGGACTTTGGATACAAGTAAATGTGTCCCTGGGCATATTGTTTACAGTTAGTTAATAATAAAGTCTGGTGTAAGGGTTAATGTGTGTGCATGTTATGCTGAAAGTTTTTTCAAGTGTATTGCAGGAATCAGAATGGTTACGAGTAAGTCTCCACAAATGGTTGGATGATGAATATTGTCCAGAGCCAACTAATGTAGACATCAGTAAAGTTGCTGCACGCTCATACTACAACTCTTTAACTGAGAACCAAACTGAACTTGGGGATATACTGCTAAGAATGGCTATGGAGCTGGAAAGCATCTCTTACAAAGAGAGTTTTCATGGAGCCTTCTCCTCAGCAAATGCAGCTGTACACCTCATACTCCAGCGAATACTGCAGCAGGAGGAGCTCAATGCTTAGCCTTTGCCAGTGCCAGGTTTGATGGTTAAAGCTTAGTGAGTCCATGAGTTGATGTAACCTAAATGAGAATGAGATAGTTAAGAAATGTAATTTGAAACATGGACATTTAAATAATTCCATGATTTAAGGCTTCAAGATCCAATGATCCAATCCTTATACACACTCATTCTGGAAACAATTGTCGGGTTACGACCAAGGGCTTCATAACACTGTCAAAACATTCTGTGATTCTTCCTTTCAATAGCAAATACACGCGTAAACTATGAATCAATGCAATTCTCAAAATTTCATCTCCTTACTTTCCTGGCAATATGGGTGTGTACCCTATTGTACAAAATTACCCATCCATGTCATGATTTGTATTTATCAATACATGTATTAATATACATATACAATTTAATCATCACATGACATCCAAAACCTCAGCTCTTTTTTTGAAAATGCATCTAGGTTTCAAAATAAGAGTCAACCTTGCTTTCTTTAGTTTAAATCATCAACATTTCATTGGTTCTTCAGTTTTCTTGCACATAAAAACACACACACTTAATAGTTCATAATACTAAAATGAGGGTTAAAAGGTTATTTTCTTCTGTTTGAGCCACACTTTTCACGCCAATTACAAGTGTAACTTTCATTTCCATTTTCCATTTCTCTTCGTTTTCTTGGAAAAACATTGATTTCTCTAAAATAGCAATGTGCTATCTATACTGTTCATCAACATAAAGCTCCATTTCATCAGTAATGATAAATAAATTATTAGAGTCAGAGGTTCAATGCCTCATAAGTTCATTATCTGGCCATAACATCGCTACTTCCATTTTATATTTAAGATGATGCTACATAATTCCTTAACCAAATATTGGGACATCACTTAACTTAGATCACGTCAACACCAGTTCTCTTCATATAAGCATTATAGTCTCCTTGAAATGGTCTCTTTCTTTCACACATAAGACATTCTATAATATCTTTTCAATCATCCTCCAATGCATAAGGTACAACTCTCCAATGTATGGCTTCCGCATTGGCTCATACAATCACTAATGGCTACATACATACCCACTGGCTTTGGCTTAGTAAATCCTTCATATATCCTAAATTATGTTAAAGTTTCACAAATAAACCTAGCAAATATCCATATTGGTTCTACGTCAAATACACCAAAACCCTGGAATTCACAACATATATGTAAGTGATATACACACTTAATATGCAAAAGGCTAACCTCAAACCATCACTCAACTTCCCAATAACTTTAATTATTGGCTTCACATTTAAACACAACTTTCAAAAAAATTTGTGGGATATGTTGATGAATCTGCCAAATATGACAAACTTAGAAGGTAAAAATTAAAAAAATGATTTTAAATTTTTTGGGATATGAAAAACCTAAGCGTTTTTTCTCTATAATGTGACTGAAGTATGTATGTATGTATGTATGTATGCACTTTTTTTTTTCTTAAAATTTGTCATATTTTGAATAAGTCGTAATTCTTACTGGAACTCAAAACACTATCAACTAATAATATATATTCATATTAAAATGTTGGTTATGATTTATATGGGATGACAAACTGTGGTATACATTTAGTATATGAACATCTTTGCCTCACCAGATCTGTGAATTTACATATTTTGTGAAAAAAACTTATATACTACTGAGCTGTTTGTTCAATTTTGTGTGTTAACTTTACTAATATGTTGAGGCATGGTTAATTTGAATGGTCCACTCACTAAATTTCATACATAGATTACTGCCTTAGAACTTCTTAGTCTCATTTGTTTCTTTTCAGATAACACTTAACCAAAAAAGACATTTGTTATTACTTTCCCCCTTGCTTGTAATTAAGAAGTTATATATATATATATATATATATATATATATATATATATATATATATATATATATATATATATATATATATATATATATATATATATATATATATATATATATATATATATATAGATTGTGTCAGTTGTATTTACCTTTCACCATCCTAAATAATGGAGGGTGTCAATTCACAGCCCATACACCCGAATAAAACGTGTTTCACACTGGTCCATGAAAATAATAAATATACAAAGTAAATGTTGTGATGTTGGTGAGGTGGTTCGTATTTTGATAGTAATGATAGGAACTTTGTGGAGTTAAGTTGACAAATGTGAAATATTTATTGTCGGTTATCAGTCATATCGCTCGCATTATGCCATATTAGATAGACAAATGTTTGAAAGGTTTTGTAAAGGAAGGGTGTCTGTCGCATAATGTTTCCATTAAACAATACTTGTATCCTTTGTAATTTGTAGTTTTGGGATACTGATCATTCTTGAAAGTGTGATACTAACAAACCATATTATGCTTTTTCTTTTGGTGTTGAAATAAGAATTTATATAATTAAATAATATACAAAGCAATAAAAGGTTACAAACAGGACACACACACACCCAAAAAAAAAAAAAAAAAAAAAAAAAAACGAAAGGAGATCAGTTCCAACACATCATGTGACGTGATTCTTAAAAAGGGTACAAAACAAAAGTATGACATTTGTTGGTTGAAGGGAATCTGTCTCATGATATGGTGGGTAACGACCTGACCTTCAACTTGCAATTATCACTCCAAGTTTTATATTATTTGCCCAGTAACATATTTATACAGCTTGTCATGAGTATATACATTTTTTAGTTCCCGCTTCTTTTTTCTTGAAGGACTACTTGCATCCAAGAGCCTTTTAAATCCAATAGGAAGTATGTTACCAAAGTGTTATTTTCCAAAATTCATGACATGTCATTAATACATTTTTTTTTTCTTTCCAAAAAACTACATCTTGGGACTCCATAGCCTCCTTGAAACCCCTTGGATCCTCCTCAATATTAGAACAATATGAATATTTATATCCGATAAATATATAATCAATTTCTTTTTTTGATAATATTTTTCTTTTGGGCTCGTGTAATTTTAGAATTGTTTGACAATCCCCAACTCAAAAAACACCAAGCTTTGGTCTAAAGCATTATTAGGCACATTAGCTTCAACTTTTTAGTTGAAAAGAGAGCTGATAGCTTTTAAACTAATTTATAAGCTAAAATAAACTATTTTTATAATTTTATCAAACAGAATTTCAATAAATTAACTTTTAAGCTATTTTAATGAAATTTTAAAAAGCTAGTTTCTATACTATTTTTTTTAAACATTAGGATTTAAAATGACAATTTATATACGTATACGTACCTCCTAATGTTGTGTACCCCTATATGTGAGTGTAATAATACGTAACCATCCCTGATGTGAGAGAGTGAAAGACGGTATTTATAACACAATCCTTTAAATTTTTTGAAAAATAAGCTATAAATAGGTGTGTCAAAAAGGTGGAGTTGGTGCAAGGTTTTGACAAAAATTGTACGCACCCAGATGTACGATTCTTTTATGAGATTTTTAGTTGTTTATAACATTGGAAAGTATAAATAAATAAAATAACCTAAAATATTAATATTAATTTCTGATATGAAAGATGCTTTTGGATTCACGTGACACAAAATGAATTCGGTCGTTTCAAGATTTTTTGTTAATCCATAATCAAATACTTTTTCTCTCTCTCTTCTATGATTAACTATCGATTGCCACAAGATCTTTTCATTAGTTATTCGTATTTTTAAGACTTTCTTTTTTTTTTTTTTTAAGAAAAAAAATTCCACGTTCAATTAAAAAAACATTAAATTACATAAAATAAAACTTTATCTATTGGTGATTGACTTATTGAGTAGTTATTTGATATTTATGTTTCTGGTTTGATTATAAACATACTGTTCAGCTTTGAAAATACTTTTCCAAATAATATTTACCAAAAATAAGTGTATTTTATGTAGTTTAATTTTCTTATTTTTTTTATTAGCTTAAAGTGCTGTCACATCCCTTTTGTGTACATGAACAACAACCTCTCATAGGTCCATAACTCCATATCCCTTATCTTGTATCAATTTTTATATAAGAATGTTTTGCATCAGTTAAATTTGAATTATCTCGGGATCTGGATGTTTCAATTATTCCCCATTTGAATCAAACTTTTTCCTCGAAGTCCGGTGCTGCAAATAACTCAGGGTAGTGCTCTCGCATCTCCACCTCGGGTTTCCAAGTCCACTCGAAACCCTTCCGATGCTGCCACTCGACATTGACCAAAGATACTACCTTGTTGTGCAAGGCCCTCGTCTTTCTATCCAAAATCGTCACTGGTCTCCCAACATAATTCAGACGACCATCAACATGAATATCATCCAAAGGAACAACTGCTGAAGCGTCAGCCACACACTTTCAAAGCTGGAAAACATGGAAGGTATTGTGGATCTGACGCACTGCATAGATCGTTTGTAGCTTGCATTGCATCCACATGTTATGAAAGCCAACTCCATCTCCGAGATCCAGTCCATAACTCCAATTGGATCCTCTTTCCCAGTGAAAGTCGATGGTTTGCAAGTTGTGAAGTTCTTATACTTGCATCTGTTCCTCTCGATTCCATCGTCTTGGTTGTTCCTCCTAACCACTAGCGATTCATCTTGACCAACAGTCATATTGTAGTTCCCTTCCTCCGACTGTCCGTCATTCAGTTTTGGTTGTTCAACATGCATTGTATGTTCATCCCTATTGTTCAGCAGCAATTGCCTCATCTATTCCCTCTGTTTGGCCATCATAGCTCGAACCATGACTTGTACTCCAACCATTGTGATTGGCTCAGGTGCAGCTGCTACCTCTGGTGCATGTTCAATCACAGGTCGCTGATTAACATCTCCGTTAGCGTTTCCGAGTCCGCTTCAAGTTCTTACCATGTCGATCTATACACCAATTTAAACGTTTGGTGTGCAGTGACGAGAATAGGGAAACTTTATTTACGATAGACGTATAAATCTCCTTGTTATTTCGAAAAGTTATATGTCAGTTCTAATACCGTAATTAAACGTTTAGAAATCTAAACACATAAAGTTTCTAGATCCGGTCGGCAACAGACCATAGATCCAATCAAATAATCACAAATCATTTAGCACATAAAAGCATTTTAGGCATCCTTCCCTAAATAAGCTAGTGCTTGTGTCTATTCAGGTGTACTACCTAA